TTCATGTTTGACGAACGTTAACTAATAATGCTCTTGAAGCAAACAAAAAAGAAACAATTCGACACACAAGACGCAACTCTAGTAATTTCGAAATTCTCCTTAATTTTTAATCCAATCAAACATATTTACCTTAAATGATGAGCTTCCAAATATGGAAACTTGAATACCGTGCGCTTACATACAATTGCTAAAAACAACAATACCAACAATAACAACAACAACGCTGACTACTATAGGACACTGTTTAAGCGGTGGGTATCCAAGGTTCGTCTTGTAACATGAATACGTTTTTTTTTTTTTATTTATTTGTAAACTTTGATAAATTTTCACCCTTTTTCCCAAAGCACAGCAATTGCTATGTAGAAGAAAATGAATGTTTTTCTTAAGCTATTGCGAAAAATTAAATTAAATTTCATTGGAAAAAAAAAAAAAAAAATAAGAAAAAGCTTTTGTTCGATTTGTTTTGTTTTGTAAATTTTGTCAAAAGTTTTTTTCTCATCCTTCAAAAAAATTAGTCAACGGTATAGAGATACATTTTTCAATTAACAATTTTCAGCATTTTTCATCACTTTTTATACCCATCACCGAAGAATGAGGGATATATTCATTTTGTCAAAACATTTGCAACGCCCAGAGGGAAGCCTCAGAAAACCCGACAAAGTATGTACATTCTTGATCGGCATGACATACTAAATCGACTTAAGAATGTTCGTCTGTCCGTCCATCCGTGTGTCCGTCCGCGAAATGTGTGTTCGCTTGGCCGCAAAAATACAGCTACTGGCTTCAACCATGGCGGGAACATTGGAAGTTCTTGCACGCAAGTAGGCACTGGAAATGGGCCAGTTCACTTCACCTTTGCGGCCGAGTATGTTTACAACAGATATTGCACAGACGGATATGGTTAAATCGATTTAGCATTTGATGCTGATCAAGAATGTATACACTTTTGGTGGTCGCTGACGCTTCCTTCTGGGCGTTGCAAACGTTTTGACAAAATGAGTATACCCCTTATCCTTCGGCAAATATAACAATTCCCCTTATTTTTTGAACGCTATTTTATGTCGAATTTGTACTTACCTTGCCTTATCTTTCATACATGTGGAGGATAATTACAAAGCAAAAAAAAAAAATTTGAAGTAAGCGACTTTTTTAATATTTGTAAAATTTTTTTCTGCAAACCAAAGTAATCTGTCTTTTCATACCCTACACTACTTATGCTTACTACACCACATGAGCTTATCTGGTTTGTGTAGACGTATGTAACATCCTGAACATTCTTTTATTTCAATGATCTATTGAAACTCATTTTCCAAATCGATTTAAATCTATCCGTTCATTTGTCTGGCTCTCTGTCTGTCTATCCGTCTGTGTATCTCCACATCTGTACATTCTTGTGATCAACTTTCAAGTTGCAATTCTTAAGATTTTGTGTTTTGACCAAAAGAAGATTCTGTCAAAAATACATTAGATCTAAATACCTTTGCGACTACACCTTGGAGAAGTCCTTACATATAGAAAAATCGCAACTTTTAAAGTTTCTGCACAAAAATCGCCAAGTAATGGCATTTCGTTATACTTGATTGTCGTGAAGAATTTGGATCGAATAGGTCAGTTTTTAAAACCTCATCCACATAATCGTTCCTACGAAACCCAAGCCATTACCTGACAAAAGCGTGTAACTTTGAATATTTCGTGATAAAAATTAGTCCATAGTAGAAATTTGGCATAAGAATTGAGTGTACCAAATTTGGACCCCATAGACCTATTCCTTTAATACCATGTCATAAAAGGGTTCTCATAAAGGCTAAGCCTTTACCTGACAAAAGTGTCTAATTTTTAATATTCCATGGTGAGAATTAGTTTACAGCAGCAAGTTGATATAGAGATTAACTGTACAAAATTTGGACTATATAGATCTATTTCTTGTGCACCATAACGTAAAAAGATTCTCATGAAAAGTAAGCCTCCATATCAAAACCATACTCTTGCGTGAAAGCAAGTTGTAAAAGTTGGAAAAGTGTATAAGCCGATCTAGAGTAGACTATTTAATAATCGGTGTTGCCTGACTATAATGCATTTACCCATGTTTTACGCTTTTGCTTGACGTATGCACGTGCGTTTGACAAGGAATTTGTGCGTTACTTTAAACGTCTGCTGGTAAAATTGTTCTCTTTTTTTAATTTAATGGTTTAAAAAGATTACTTATGAAGACTAACGTCAATAACAAACACGTTATTACGAATCTCTAAGCCCATATTTACCATACTGATCGTATAACAGCAAGAACCTTGAGAACAATCGGAATACGGCGCAATGTCTAAAAGTTAAGCCCAGCAGCAGCGTAGCTGTTTATGGGATAGTTAAGCACTCGGCATCGTACAAATTATTTAATTTAAATTGTCGTTTAAATAATCAATCAAGGGCCCATGACTAATTACAATGAACTTAAGGGAGCATGTTTCCAAGCCTCTCCAAACATCGTTCTATAAATAAATTCTTCAAACAATAGAATTATTAAAGAGAATCGTTATTGTTTTCTAATGTTTTGTACTTTTCCTTACTATTAATGAGGCGATCAATAAGTCTCGATACTTAAAAAGACGCGCATTCTTTTCTGCAAAAGCCGAATTTTATGCGTTCCTTCAAAAGTGATACAACCTGTCTAAGGTCTCTCTATTATTTTGGGGCCTTTTCTATAGAAGTATCAGTGTAACCCAAAAGCTTCTTCTTTTTCCTTTGGATGCGAAATCAATAGACGACATAACCCATCTTGATTAAAAGATTATGCATCAAGTTCCTGGAAAATTTTAATGGCAGCTCTAAATTTCTTAAACCAATTATTGACGGTTCTGATAGTAGAAGTTGAAGTACCACTGCCACAAAGGGTGTAAATCTCGTCTGCAGTGTCCTTTGCTGTACTACCTTTTGTAAAGCAATGAAGCAAAACATGTTGCAAGTGCTTCTTTTGGTTTTAAAAGAGACTTTGTCACCAACGAGAACGTTAGTCACATCCACTATCTCGCGCACAATATATCGCCGACTTTCAGATAAGAAGATTGTGAGGACTTCATACATTGGACTTTTTATTTAGTAACTGTGAGTTCAAAGCTCAAGAATGATAGAGTTTTCAATAAAACCCTTAGCCTCAGATGCCAGCGCTTTAAGACTTCAGCCTTAGAATTAGGAATTCATTTATTCTTGTGGTGCAAAAAGTATATCAGCTTTTAGCAGATGTCTTGAAGTACACCCAAGCTTTATTACGTCAACCGATTCGATCGAATTACTTCCATATGTCTATACTTACATCCATATGTCTTTGTTATCTTGCGGTCAACCTAAGGGGCGTAATATTTGAGATGCTTAGATGAAATTAGGTACACCGATGTCTTTTGACTCAAAGGCGAACCCTGTTGAAAATGGTGCAGATCTAGTCACTTTTTCAATCACTTGTCATGTACGGCCTTATTTTGAAAAGTGGTTATATAAATAACTGGAGAGTAGTGTAGGGTGTTTACTGAGGGGACTTGACCCACTACAGTGTGTTTATTTAGACATAATAGGTGTATTCTTTGCATGGTTGCCATTGGGGGACAATAACCTTTGTTTCCTTGTATTTAAACAATTAAAATTGAAGAAGAAGGAAAGGAAAAGCAAAAGTAATATGAACCTCTGGAAAATAATTTACTTCAATCTGACTTAATAAGTGCTCAACAACATTCAACAACAATTTTCACACACGGGCAAGACAGTTTTCTTTTGCATTTTAATGGGTTGAGCAGGGATTAGATTAGATTAGATTCTATTTTACAATTATGTCAGATATTATGAATTTTTTTATGATACTCTCATTAAAAGTGCATGTTAAGCTGCTGGGTATTCAATGCAATAATTTACGGATTTAGTCGCATAATTTAATGATTAAAACGATAATCATTTTTAAGTTTTTTTTTTTGTTAAGAAAATCACGAATTCTTGAAAAAAGGGTTTAAATTCTTCAACACTTGTGAATATTGAGGCTTATTGTTATTATCAAAATTGTCGTCAATCCATTGTTTATTAAGAATAAAAGAAATCTGACTGCTGAAGCGTAAGATTCGCGTATTCTGTTCGTATGTAAGAATGGTTAACTTTTGTCCATAGCATTTCAAAAGTTCTTCTTTAAAAAACTTGCTGTTACGCGAAACATCCTTTGGAATCTGTTGCATGGTTTTATTGCAGGCTCTTAAAACATTTTGGTGGAACATTATCGTTTTTTATTGTGCAACGCATTGACAAGTGTCCTAAACGACATTTAATACTCGTACTTTAATTTTATATAGTGCAGTATTTCTTTCCCTCCTCAACTATAGTGGTATGTGTTAATGGAAATTCCTTTGAAAAAAAAAAAATAATAATGCACAAAACTAAATAAGGTGGCCAGATTCTCTTTTTTTTTCTTGCAACAAAGTATTATTGTGTTCAAAATATAAGGGGAATTTTTATTTTAAAAATTAATTTTTTTTTTTGGTGGATTGGTAGCATATGTAGATTAAAAAACCTAAGAGAAATTGTATGTTTACGGTTTTTTTCGAGGTCTATTTTTACATACAAAGTCCATTAGAACTTCCATATATCCTGACCTTTGAAACATTCGCCGTCAATTTAATTGTGCTCAAGCGTACGTCTTTCATATGCGCGTCTTATTAGCTCGATCAAAATCCCAAAAATATACAGGATGACGAGCGGTAGATCAAATTTGAAGATGCATCTAGTCCACGACCAACCATCCAATATAGAAAAAACTATAAGCTACGTGAACTGGTCCTGCTAGAACACTTAATACGTTCATCATTTTGTAATCACTAAGGCGTGACCCTTTCTCAAATCGATTTTGCCCTTTAGTATGCATTAGAGACCCTGCATGCTATTTTTAAACATCGAAAGCTTCCTACCCGACTTGACAAAGCTAGTCCGTCCATCCACGCATTTGTCTCTCTTTTGCTGAAGCATGATTGGAGAAATTGTGTTAAAAATTTGTAACATACACATAGGCGTAAATGACAGAAAAAATTTGATAGTGGCTGCAATGTATCCGCAGCCCTGCCTATAATAGAAAAACAAAATCTCAAACAATTTTTTCGATACATAAGAGATATATCCAATAAAACCTGATAGAAATATCTCTTGCGGCCGTTTGCAATCTCGCTTGTTAGAAAGAAATTTGAAAAACTTACATATCTGCGATTGAAAACATATTCTGAAACTTTTTTTGAAATGAATATTAGATGACGAGAGGAAAAAAACCTTCTACTTCTCGGCACCGCCAATATGGATTAGGATGCCTTGTGCGTGATCTCTGCACAAAGCAATGTATCGCCGATGTTTACTAGCATCCATATGGAGGCATGTAGGTAGATAGGTACAAGAAAATTTGAAGTTTATACGCAGTAAGTATTCCAATTGATGTTGAATTTTATGTCAGTCTACAAATACTTGATCAAATGCTGTGTAAGTTAAGCTCTTTTCGTATATCCAATCACTATAACCAATAAAATTCTATTCGATCTCCTTTCTTTGCTCATCATCCATTAGCCAAACATAGGCGTCATACTGAATATATAGATATATATATATATATGCACCAGTTATTATGTAGCCATTCAACGAACAAGATCCATGCCAATAGGTTTATTTTTCTCATCTTTCTTAAATTGCCCCTTCTGCGAAACATGAGCTAACTATCTGAATAGAAATTTAAATGGAATTTCTTTAAAATTGCATTAAAATTTATTACGGATTTTCTATTTCATTCAACTTCTCCTCTTCCGCTATATACATTAACGTCACTTTGAGTTCGGAACGTTTCTTAATACTTTCCTCACGCAGCACATCACATTCTTTGGTCAAAATTTTTATTTTAAAATCAATGAAACGAAGCGCTTCTTCCAACGTGAATGGTATAAAAACACCTTTGCCTATATCTACTAGTATAGTATTAAGGTCATCAACTTTTGCTTCCATAAATAAATTTGCACCAATATTCATTTGAGTTTTATAACCTGTAGGCTGATGTTCTTGCAATGTTTGTATTGTGTTTTTTAACTGTACGAATTCCATAATTTCCTCATTGTATTTTGTAATGTAACGATCTAGATATTTGAGATCCTCCTTTAGAACATCATTGATGAAAATTTCGAGATTTTCCGTTGCAAAATTAGGCATATTTTTAATTGAAATTTTAATTTATATCCATAAAAAATAAACTGATTTTGATTCCGACTAAAAACAAAGTCTGTGTAAATAAACCATATAAACATATGACAAGTACAATGATATCAACTATGCTATGTTAAACATTGAATTTAGCGTTTTCCCGAAAACAATTGACGCTAATAAAATAGTCTGGCAACACGTAGTCAACTATTGTGAATCATCACTTGATTTATCCTCAGTTATATTACTTCCGTGACATGTTTTACCGCCAGAGGTTTTTTTAGTGCCTTTTCCATTGTTAAATAGAGGGCGTTGTTTGAATTTCAAATAAAAATTATAACAGACAAGTACTGCTTCATTACTTTAACAAATTAGAGTGAAAATTATGAAGAAGACAATCGAGAATATTCATATACTAATTTATATTTTGCCTTGGTCAAGAGTGCAATTTAACAGAATCGAATCCCTTTGATCTGTTATTTAACAGAATCAAATCCATTGGGTCTGTTATTTAACCGAATCGAATCCCTTGGGTCTGCTATTTAACCGAATCGAATCCCTTTTGTCGGTAAAGTTGGGCATTTTGTCTGTTAGTTAGCAGAATCGTATCCCTTTTGTCGGTAGAGTTGGGCATTTGGTCTGTTATTTAACAGAATAGAATCCCTTTTGTCGATTAAGTTGGGCCTTTAACATTAGCTGCTTGGCGTTAATATTTTTGTTAAGTTGGGCATTTAATTATTTATTTATTAAAAGCGACTCTGTGCTTTCAACAGGGAATTTAACCATTCATTTATGACGCCTACCACGATACTCAAGGATGGAAAACCGTGCTTATATGCTTAATGTATCTTTCTCCGTTATAAAATTAATTTAATGTACAAAGCAGTTATAGGAATTGAAAAATTGCGAAAAATATTAATTGAGTGAAAAATTGAGAAAATTAAAAAATATTTCACATAAAAAGAGCGTTTGTATATAAAATCATTATCTTAGATCTATTTTCATCATAAAACTCCATAACACTATATATGGCAGGGAATTGAAAAAATCGTCCAGTCAAAATAATAATGTTTAATAACGTTTAACTGTGGTCGAATTCGGAGGTCTGCTACGTCCAAATTAAAAAACGTGAGATATTTTGTGAACAACTTACGAGTCTACATGAAAACACCTTTCAAACGAGGATTCGCCTCTGTGTATACTTTACAATTATAATAACTATTTATATGTTTGTTAATGGCCAGCGAAATAGTTAAGGAGTTTTATGCGAAAGGCGTTACTAGATTGCGGAAAGATATGCAGATGGAATTCTACCTATAAAGGATTGCGTGTGAAATGCAAGATTCTAATAGACAATCCAATTACAAAATTTAAACTATAATTAACAATTTGCAATCTGGCTGCCCAACCCCACAGAAAGTCAAAGAATGAAAGTTAACAAGACAATGATTTTAGAAAATGCCCTCAGCTAGTAGTACTGACTGAATAGAATCATAAGGGCATGAAATAGCTTTGAACAGTGCCCACAAATTGCGAACTTAGCAAAGTGATGGTCGACGATCACCGAGATTAAAGACCTTGCAATTACATTTAGGGGGAAAAGTCTCCTGCTCATTAGTAATGAAATGAGGAGGAAGCTTCACTTGAAATGCATTATTAATATGAGAAAATATACGTTAGTCAAGAGACAGGTAATTCCAGTATCGCATAACATCGCGAACTGCAAAGGATCGTTCAACGCAGGGTATGCTAATCTGCTGATTCCTGGTAGATAGAATGAAGCCAGCAGAGGTTGAAGAGGTTGACTATCCTTAATAACCTTGAAAACGAGCGATAAGTCACGACGTAAGGTTACATCGGAGGTACATCGCTTGAGATTGTCAGAAATGTGAGCACGTGACCACTATAGAGTTAACACTAAAACTTAGTACCAGGAAGCCACATAGAATGTGAGACATTAGGAGAGCTTGGACCACCGATTGCGGTAAATAAACACACTTCGAATACATAGCCCGCATGGTTGCCATCAAATGTGAGGTAGTGATCAGTAAATATGCCCAAGTACTTAAGAATCTCAAATAATTTCCGTGGATGTATTGGGAATAAATGTTTGCAAGTCATTCATATTTACGGATGATATCTTTCTTCTACTCAGCACTGAGAGCAGCAATTCCGATGTCCTTGAGTTAAACATTAATTAGGGCCATCGAATTCTATCCTAATGATTATTGGCAATGCCCATATAAAGTTATGTCTTTCGGTCATAATGACCGTTATCCTCCTTGATTGGTGATCTTCTTCATCACATTATAAAACGTAACTAGATTTGAAACTTTGCTGCAACCAATGAAAGCAAATCTCGAAAAGCTCTGGAGATGTGACAACGGTTCTACACAGAAATCGAACGATCATACGAAGTATTTTTCTCAAATTATTAATATAATATATATAAATATACATCTGGCATAAGAAAAACACGTGAGCTAATTGCTAACTCCTTGCAATTTAAAGAGATGAACATTCATTTTTATTAGGGATTTGCAAAAGTTCTGATCACTTTTGTGCTTGAAAAAGGCATTTAATGCGGAACATTGGCGGTCCAGCCAGCGGCTCATTTTCGCACTTCTTCAACTTGGCGAACCCGCTTGCCAGCCTAGCCATCCTGCATCATATTGAACAGGTGGTAAGGCCCAATGCCTGGTAAGTACGCTGAGTATAGCAGCCTGCAACAATGTATCATGAACAACACTTGCGACAAGTGATCAAAAAATGGCATTTTCAGTCAATTTGTACCGCCACTGTTTCAATCCATAACCGACAATTGGGACATTATGGAGCAGTATCACCATAAGTCTTGCTAGCAGATTTCTTCAAATCAAATAACGAAAGTAATGCATTTGGAAGAAGAAGAATTTTAAAAGTGTCGACATACGCTAAATAAATTATTCTTACTTTAGATAGAGGAATATCAAACCCTTACACACCCTACATAATCTTCTTCATCATCATCCTCTTCTTCATTATTTTTAACTGTAGAAGTTGCTGATTAAAATTTGTGCAAAATTTAGAAAGTAATCCGTCTCCCGAAAAGAAAAATTCTTTTTACTTCCGTTTTTACTTAAACGATTCTTTCCACACGCATTCTTATAATTTGACGACGAAATAAATTAGGCAAATTTGAAAGCAATTTCAAAACCCATTGCACGCTATGACAATAAATAAAACGAATAAATTATTGAAAGCAACAAAAACATAGGAATTAACTATAAATGATGCCTGCATAGTTTATAAAAATTCCATTTGTTAATCAACTTGCGAACAATGGCTTTTCATTGGCAACGAAATTTGTTGCTTTTCATTGTCTTAACGCTGCTTGTAAACTTAAGCAAAGCCCAGGTGAGTGTAAAGAAAATAAAATTTTAAAAACAATATTGAATCAATTTGAAGAGTAATGACTTGAATTTAAGGATGATCCACCTAACGGTTCAGAAGAAGAAGAGGAAGATGATTCATCATCGGAAGAAACCGTAGAAGATTCCAATGAATCGCAACGACGTCGTCGTCGCCGTCGTCGCTTAGCCGAATCATCCGACGAGGGTGAAAAAATTGCTCAAAATATTTCAAAAAATACCCGAACTATACCGGGTCTACCCAATTTAGAGGATATAACCAAAATTGCGGAAATCCTTACAACTGTTGGTCAGCAAATTTTGCCGGCTTTAGTCTCAGGTAATTCCGGATCCACGAAATTATTACAAAATCGTGGACAACTATTGCAAAACGCTAAGAATGAGATCGATATGTTGGCCGAAAAAATTTGTAAAAAGTCTCGTTAGTTAAAAGTGAGTTTGCAATAAAATCAAAATTTATTTACTTTTACAGTTTTTGGCTAAAATTTGTATATTATTTGGACCGGTAGTGAGACCCTGTACTGTACTGTAGTTGGCAGTTGGCTGGGATTAAAGCTATTGAAATTCAATAAAAAGAAAATTGCACAACTTCACATTAACGCGTCTAATGTCTTCTTCTTCTTCTTCTTCTGCATAAACTATGATTGATATCTTCTAGTCGATAAATTGAATAATAAAATATATATTTGCAATAGTAAAGGTTCCTAAACCCGTCAGTGAACTCATTTTTTATTCGCTTTCGCTGATGCTATTGTACGTTGGCTCGTCTCAGAAAATGAAAGATTCCGAAGCTCATACTAGAAACAATATCACGGTCATTACAGTGATGGATCGGCGCCAACTCGCAAATTAAGTGTGACTTTAGCTTCTCGATATTTGCGTACAAAATTCAAACGACGATGTTCACAATAAGAGAGTCCTTTGATGAACAAATGTTAAGCTACGTTTTGAATACGGCTCCTCCCGATCAGGAGACCGGGTAAAGGCGTTTAGAAGCAGGTGCTATGGTTTTGGCTGATCGGGGTGTCGTCTGTATTGTCGTCTGTAATGATGAACAAGGCCGAGTCACTATATCCAAAGCAGGTATACATGCTTCTCTTCGGTTACGATCCATATAAGACCCCCATGGAAAATATAGGTTTGCAAGATTCATTACTTTCGCGTTTTGATCTGTTATTTGTTATACGACCAAAAAAGTATAGCTTACGACCAGAAAAGTATAGCATACGACCAAAAAAGTATAGCATACGACCAAAAAACATTTCTCATTGATTGAAAAGTATAGCTTACGACCAGAAAACTATAGTATACGACCAGAAAAGTATAGCATACGACCAAAAAAGTAAAGCATACGACCAGAAAAGTATAGAAAAGAAAAGTTAGCAGCGCTGCTTATATTGATGAAATGATGAACGTTACAAATGCGTAATTCTCGCGTAACGATAACAAAGAATTCGTGTTATACTGACCATGTTGCATAAATTTTCCCAATTCTCCTTTATTTAGGTGAAAAAAATGCAAATAGAAATTTTGATTTTGGAAATGGGATTGGTTTGTGCAAGACGGCTAATATTGATTAAATAATAAATGTTACACATTCATAATCCTCAACAAGAATTCATATTACATTGAGCAAGTTTTCTTTATTTCTTTATCAAAAAGTACAAATGGAAATTTTGATTTTATTTTTTATTTTCTCCTCTTTGAAAAGGTGAAATATTTTAGGCGACACAAAGCCGAATCCTGCCAATTGAAAATTTCAACCATTACAAATGTTGCCATTTTAAGTAAATTCTTCTTTCTTTCCTTATGATTCAAAGCGCCATCAAAGATTTTTGCTTTTTTTTGCTTACGGATTCTCTAAAAACAAACTGGAACAAATAATAAAGTTTGCAACACTGGATATTTACTAAAGGTAAAGTTCAGAATTCAAATCAAGCGAAACGAAACAGTCAGCTTACTAGGAGCTTTTTCAGTCGAAGTAAATTTCCTAATTTTATATATTGTAACTTTTAAATGCTTAGTCCATCTCTGTTCAACATACAAAAAAAAAAAGCTTTTAAATGTATAAATTGATTTAAAATATATAAATTGGTTTAAAATATATATATTATGGCAAATTAAAGCAATTCCTCTTGCAGAGAAGTTCAATGCACTATTTAAATAGCGCTTCATCACTCTTTAAAGGAAATAAAGAAGGAATAAATTTTCATTCGTTCCGGAAATTTCGAAAGCGCTTGTGTAAGCAAGAAGCATGGATAAAATTTAAAAAAACAGAACTAAGCGTCCACATGAAAACCGAAAAAATATTTCGGCAGTATATGAAAAAAGAAAATTAATTAATAATAAAAACATTAAGAAAATGAAGAACTTACCGGCAAATTTGTGACATTGACACTTATTATTGGCAAAAATTAGGAGAATGCGGGATATAACTAAAGCAAACAAACCATTATATAAAAAAAAAACCATTAAATAAAAATCTTTGCAATTTAAAGTGAGACTTGTCGTTCTTGGCGGACTTTTTATATATCTCCGCAAAAATGAAGACACCGTCTACGAATTTGCAAAAACGTTTGAAAATGGTCCATACCGGTCAAAGGGCATGTCTACAACGCCCACATGCGTACGCCACAAAAACTGCGCATATCGTTGCTTTCCAAATTGCCCTGGTTTATTATCAATTTATAAACAACCATTTGGTTGCGCCCCGGTTTGTTATCAATTTATAAACAAACAACCATTTAGTTGCGCCCCGGTTTTTATCAATTTATAAACAAGCATTTGAGTGTACAATACCATGATCAGCTGTCTTCCCAAGAAAAACTATTAAATTATTTAGAAAAAGATGCAAAAATTTTGAAAAAAAAAAAATTTATTTTTTCAATTTTCAAGAAAGCCTAGTAATTATACATCGACCAAATCGTTATTAGAATAATTTTGTAGAGATTCCGTGCCCTAACTCTTGCTAACGTTTTTTTTTCTATATTACAGGTGATTCGATTGCAATAGCATTGAAATACGTCTGTAGTCCTAGAGTTTTATATATAAAGATCGAAATAAATTTTAATAATAATAATGGACATAAATTTATATTTAGTCCGTAAGAATAATTCCGTAGTCCAAGTTTTATTTTTACTCACGATTTCTTGTCATAATTTTTATTTTTAAAATAGCTGAAGATGATTGTGACAAGCTTTGCACTTTTGGTCAGTTACGCTGCGGCCCTTTGGTTTTTCTAAGCAAAACTGGGGGAATTTTTACTCGCCACTCGCAAATTACAAACGAAAGCAGTCTAAAACTGCCCCCTTTTGTTTTATGGAATATCCTGCTGAAAAGAATTGGCTACTCATGCACAAACAACGTATTCTCTTTTGTACAAATTTCTAACGGGGAAGAAATAGGTAAGGAGGGCACCTATCAGTACATGGTTACTGGAATGTTTTACGAAGCAGTTAAACTTTATGGAGTTATTTTCCGACCAAAATTTCTAAGTTTGGGTACAAAAAACAAGACGAACAGACGGCGGACGGACAGACAAGCTTTGATCGATTCAAACTGTGACTTTCACTCGATCGGAACAATGAAAGCTGGGTCTAAATAAGTAAAAACACTATGTAGGGGATCATGGCCCACCCTTAAATACTCTAAATCACCCTACAGTTGCTCATATAACGATTTTTCAAAATAGGGCACTTAATGGAAAGTGGTCGAACAAGTGATCCAATTCGAGTCATTTTCAATAATATTCGTCCTTGCACTAAAACAGATTAATGTACCAAATTTCATCCAAATTCCTCAAAGATTGTGGCCTATAGGTTGAACATAAGAAAGTAAGGCGCATAGACGCCGTTCAATAAATTCAGATCCAGCGACTCTGAATCGATCGGTATACTGAAAGGTCGATCGATCACTACTCCTTCTAACTTCTGCGCATGTAGGTTACAAAAACGGGCTTTAAAAGGTGTCTGCTTGAATGATTCCAGCAGTTTTCGTCAAATATCCATCCACAATTCCAGCATTTTTTTTTATTTTTTTTTTAAGAAAATTATCAAATTTTATTATAAAAATATTTGAACACAAACGTGAAAAAATTTATTTATTCTCACTCTAGTATGTTTTCTTTCTCTCTATCCCTTTGCAATTGAAAATCCAATTCAATTTTATCTTGAGCCGTTCGTGTAGCTGTTTCTATGTAAAGCTTTATCTTCTCTTCCAATTCGACAAGAACTTTTTTATATTCAGTATCTTCGTCGTTCAATCGTAAGCCATGTAACAACAAATCCAAAGTATTCACAGGTAAACATAGTTCGGGATTCGTGACGGTAAGCGAAAATTTGAAATTGAAATATTCACTGCCGGCACCCAAAAATGCTGAAAGCATTTCTTGGGCAAGTTCGGCCGCCTCCAGTAAACGATTATGTTTAACGAATAAACGTAATTGTTCGGAACAATTGCTTAACTTGTAGCTATTGTACAGCCATTGCGGGATGAAAGCCTGTAAACTTAATAGTTTATTAACTACGCATTTTTTTATTTGCGAGGAGCCCTCGTCTTCATTATCTTCCAGTAATTTTTGCAATAAATCCCAAGCCATGTCGGCGGCTTTATTACGATATGATAGATCGGCTAAATTGTTTTCCAGTAACCATGTCCATGCATCATTGGAATTTTCATCGCTGCTGCGTACGCATGCGCCGGTTAAACTTTCGAAAATCGGTAATAGAGATATAGAGAAGCCCTTGGCAAATTTGAGTGCGGCCGTATAAAGACCACAACTGCACAATATCATTGTTAGTTCAGTTGGACCGGTGTGCAGGAAGGTCTGAACATCTTTACGTTGACGGGCCAATTGTATTAAAGCTTCCGTATGTAAAATTTCACGTTCAATATGTTTAATTTCCAATACCTCGACTTGAGTTTTATGACCCGGTTCCAATTGATCTCCACCAATATCATCTCTATTAACGCGATATGTATCATATGTATCATCGCCGATTACTGGTTTCGCAATCCAACGATAACGTTCATCTGTTAAATGCAAGCCATTTAAACACATCAATAGACAGTGCGAACGTTTCTGCATTGACTCGATGGAATCGCATTCCAGTTGTAAACGCATAGCCTGCTCGTACATAATGAACGAAGCTTTCCTCATAGTATCGTTGTTCACATGAAAAGCATATAGGAAATCATAAACTTCATTTTGTTCCATTGGCTGGGAACGGGCTCGTGACTCGACAATATTTTCAAATTCCTCGTGTAAATTCACATAAGGAAATTGCATAAGCAAATTTAAGCGTTTGCAATTAAATAACGTTATAACCAATTGCCTTAAACAGTCTTTACGTCTCGATACTTCCGTAATATGTATTAAAGCGTGATATGCTTCCTCATAGTGTTCCAATTGCAAATGATTATTAAATATGATCGATTGAAACATTGGCAATTGAGGATCAGTTTTCTCTAATAAGCAAATTGCCGCCTCAGCTATATTAATGACATGATCTAAAGCGTTATATTGCTCAAATAATTGTATTACTTTTAGATAATACTGAGCCATGCATTGGTTGGCCTGCTTTACTTGTAACTCTTCAGTTTTATCATCTAAAAAATTATCAAAACTATTGGCATATGGCGTCGATTTAAGGATTTTATCGATCAAAAATTGTTCTTCGATTACACCTTTTGCCGATTTTAAGAATAAATCGTAAGCTTTATGCGTTTCGCCGCAATCTAGCAACGATACAGCTAACATAAATTGACGTGAACTCTTATTCCAATCACACCAGTTATTAAGCAGACGAACATAGTCTGCAATAAGGGTATGTTGGCAAGTGCCAAATAGCCATTCGCCAAAATCAAAATTATACGATACCGGCCATGTCAATTGGGAAACTATCGTTGATAAAGGCATTAACGTTTGCTGCCAATTCATGCCTTCTCCGATTTTAACATTGTCAGCAAATAAAGCTAAAGCGGTAAGCAAGCCTTTGGCATTTAAAAATACCTGCAACAAAGTGGCGGTGTCACGTTTACCACCATTGCCATATATACGACCCGATCCAGTGGTCAGTTGTAAAAGGTTTAATCTTTGCATAGCATCGTCTACAGACGTAGCCGTTGACATATTGATCGGCGTCTCGGCTATCCACACCATGACGTAATAGGAGTGCAGGAATGTTATTATGCCCGGCATAAATTGTGTTTTCAAAGTTTTCAATATCTCCAGAGGCAATGATTGCGTACTGATAAGAATTTGTTGTAGCAAAAGCCAATTTCGACATAACGCGAAGCGAATTAAAGCATTTTGTCGAACTGTTTCCGATAGGACAGATAATCCAATTTGGCTACCAAATAACGCTCCTAATGAGGTTAGCACACGTTTTGAACGTGCCAGATGATCGTGCGTTTGCATAAACTCGGGATTTCCGTTATCCATACGTAAAGTATCGAACAATAACGAAATTGCGTTACGTATATCACTAATCGATACCAATTTCTGACGTATTACAACCAAAAAGTTGTTGGACAGTAAACCCTTATCTGTATCGCCCGCCAGGAACTCTTCGACAAATTTTTCTATCAATACATTCGACATTTCAAGTTGATAGAGCTTACGATCAAAGTCGATTTTAACATCTTCCGGCAGCCACTTTTCTATTTGGGTCAGCAAATTAACCAAAGCTAGCAAATCATTGCCCAAGATTTCATTTTCTGCAAAATGTTGATATATTACAGCATTTGCTTCCACATGATCGCCGGCCAGCATTAAATGCTCCAGAGTATCGCAAGGTCTAAGAAGCGAAAACGAATTTTTCTTTATAATGCAAATACCATCCAAGGGCGCTAGTATAAATAAACCACTGGGATGAGAAGTTTTAACGTGATATTGCTCACAACAGGAGTAAAAACGTTCCCATAGGCGTGTAGATGCCTCTAGATAATCATCATCGGTTGCATCGATATCTTTGACTTCATTTTGTAATTCATCTTCTACAGCCTGGCAGACGTGTTTTTTGAGCAAATTCATCGTGCAATGTTTTCCTTCAAATCGCACACTAGACCGTCGAAACATGAACAATGCTTTCGCAATCACGCTCTTTTCAAATTTACCCGGATGAAAGATGTAAAAACAATAAGCTTCGCGGGGATCCATGCCATGCTCAATACCAAGGCAATAACGATCTGGTGGTGCTTCCATAGCCGCAGAAATCCAATTCATACTACTGCCGTGTAATAGCGAATAGCTGGAAATGTTGAATTCTCCTTCGGCATTACTCCATAATGCCCATATATGTGTTTCGCTAACATCAAAATCGGCCAAATCCAATTTGGGGGGTGCATCAATCACTTTACGTTTTATTAAATTTAAAGCAGAATTATTCTTACTGTCCAGACATAAATCAATGCACACAAATTCCGAACCAGAAGAATGCGACAAAAACACGCAAAAACTATAATCATTTATTTTACGCAAAACATTGCTTTGTGGCCCCTGCATGCGTTGTTCACTATCTTTTCTTACACAATTTATCATACATTGGCTTTGTTGATTGATAACCGACCAAGCGCGTAAATAGTCATTCCGATACAAGGCTAATAAATAAATTCTTTGATTGATGGACGAAAAGGCTACAGAAGTTGCGCATTCGGCATCGGATACGTCATGTCTTCCAGTCAAAGCTTCCTTTAAATTCGAAAATAGACGTGGGACGTTATAATGATCTTTTAATAAATGTCTCACTGTGTGACCGGTAGCACAGTTCATGGTATACAACGCCAACTGAGACTGACAGGCCAACGCAAAATAAGCTTCATTGCCATTTTGTGCTAGAAATGCGGCTGCAGCATGCGGCACTGCATTATCTGAGCCAGCTGGTTGTGTATCAATTACATAAAAACTACTCGGATCTCGGGCCGCTGCTGCATTACTTTCTTTGAATATTGAAAATGATTCTTCATCATTTGATTCGACTGCAGCACAAGCTCCATTATTTCCCTCTGCCAAAGTATCGGGGTGTGGGAAAACAATGTGATGCAAACTTGCTACTGAGCTAACCAATAATACTATGTGTTTAGGTTGCTCAGTTATAGTTACGCATAACACAGGCGAATCAGTGAATTTGTAACGTAGATTATTTTGATATAAATTAAAGTCTAAACTTATTTCAGACAGTTCCAAAACATCCTGATACGAGCGCCAATAAATGAAGCGATTTCTGTTATGATTTACTTTAACATTTTTGTAACAATAACCACCAGCCTTTTCAGCCACTTTTATATCTTGCAACGTACTGTGAGTTCCCCCTAAAAAGAATTATGGGTTAGTAAATTCTACTGGAAATTCTATTCTACAAGAAAACTAACCGGTATTTAATTTTATTTCATGCCATTCTTCGTTAAAGGCATTCACCGGTATAACTTCGCGATAACTTAAACTGCCCATTGTTTGATGTCACTTAAAAGAATTCATTCACGTTACGATTATTCGTATTTGTTATTTTAAATGAATCAAAAATTAATTATGATTTCAATTTTGAACAAAACAAAAAAAAACTTGTTTTACTCCGATTATATTGCAAAGCACGAAAACTTCTACTTAAATTCTCACCATTCGTAATATTGCCATTTCTATTTCCGTCGACCGCTTTTACAGTATTGCCACATGTATTTTTCACATTTGCGTATTTACCGTAAGTCAAAAGCACAAAAATTATTAGGACGACCCAGATAAGAATCGATTCTCATTTACTTAACTTGCTGTGAATAAGTGACAATAAGGGTTTCGGCCAAGCGTATGGGCAAAAAGAAAGATAAACAACTTAAACGATTAATGAATTTTGCGAATATAGAAACAAAAGTTTTAAATTTGGAATAACCCCTTTTTTTAAAGAAGCTAATCTTTTTTTATTTGTTTGAGTTTCTTTCTTCACATAAGTAAAACGGCGGTCCCATAAAGCTTGTGAATATAAAAAGCTGTTAATTTACCAACTCGAAAGTAAAAAGAGATTTCATCTGTCTCGCACTGACTGCTAAAAAATTTTTTGATATTCGAAGGAATTCTATAATTTTTACGTGTGAGCTACAAATATTTCAGTTTTTCAATTTTTTGTTACGTATACCAGAAGTTTGAAAACGTTATCATGGATGGAGGGAGTAAGAAAAAAGCGCCATTTAGGAAGAAAACACGATGTTTATGTAATGACTTGTCTTTTAATAGTCTCCAAAGCTGTCAATTTGTAGAATTCTGCTGAAAACCATTTTTAAATTTGAAATAAGTTCTTCTTATTTCTTTTCCTGCTCTTTTTCTTTTTGTTTTATTTGCCTGCGTACTTACCAAATCGAATGATTTGTCGATTCACATATGGGCGCGCGTCTCCTTTGAATATTCAAAAAGAAGAAGAAGAATACAGTTTAGTCATAGTCGACACCATTTTAAAGTAACTAGATAAAGTTCAGTAATTTTTGTGAAGTCGATTGAGCTGTGCTGTGCGGTTATTTGCGGAAGATAAGTGAAGGTCTTTGTTGTATAAGAAAATTCTAGAAATACATCTGCATGCATGCAAGTACAAATATATGAGCTTAGCTAAGTGCCAACGCAGCAGAATTGAAAAGTATTACGTAACCTTCTTAATATTTAATGGCGATGCAAATTGATTGGAATTACAAAATGGATAACTTCAGGCATTAATGAATAATAATAATAGTAACATGGGGGTCAAGGAGGTAATTTTTCATATGAAAAATTGCTTCAAGTCGACTCATTATACATACGTGTATGTCGTCAGCACAAGATGGCGGCCCTCCTCGTTTGGTGACCCCTGGGCAACGTTAATAATATTATTATTAACGGCAAAAATGAGCGGCGTTGAGCGGTTAAGCACAACAACTTTTGTTAGAAAGGCGAGACTTCCCTATCAGGATTAATGGTATAAAGGCTGGCTGTCACTTAGCCCCTGTCTAAGATGCAGTATCGTGGAATTCGAAGATTTATTCACTGGATATAACTCATCTTCAATTTAAACGCGTGCACGATCAAAGAGCACCCCGCAGCGCCCGGGACATAGGTTGGATTTAAAAATAAAAATAAATCTAGTGCTCGTACATATCGTGTTACGTGGATGTTACGTGTGACGTTATTCTAGCGTAATCAGCCAAACCATTTCATTGTCTGTATGCTCATTGTGAAACGCAACGTCTATTTGGCAGAGTTGCAATGGGAATATCAGCAAGTATTGCTGAACATTGTAATTACGCTAAATAGTGCTGAAACCTAACGTCTCCGAGTGCTGTAATGGCGCATTGCAGTTGGTAGTCATGCAGGTATAATAGACGTATCTGTGAGGGTAGCAAAATAAATCTACGTTGTGATTCATTATTAATGAGGCCTTAACCGAGTAAACTTTGCAACTTAGTTGCCGAGATTTTGTTTGAATGCAGTTCCAAATGGAAAATTGCGAGCATATAACGGGCCTTCGAAGAGGGCCAATGCTCGCACAAGCAAAATTCATACTAGATGACTTATCTGAGATTATCTAATGTTCTGACGTGGATTCCCCTTCAGAAATTAGGAAGCGATCTACAAAATCGCCTTGAACTTAACGAATGCTCCCGCTATTCTAGCTTAATTATCCAAGTATCGAGGAAAACTGTAACCCATTTTTCTTTCTTGTGTACGTGCCTTTCCTAATTGTTAACCATAATTGATGTTTAACAGTTACGACGGCACACGTGGAACCTATACAGGTAAGCAAAGACAAAAGTAATATCCAAATTTTTTGAAAATAAATTTTTGATTTCATCACAGGAAGGCAGAAAGCTCTGTCGAAATTCAAACGACCTCTGTTATCGGCCAAACGCTGATGCTGCTTTGCTATGCAGAGCAAACAAGGAATCATCTGATAGCGAGTGCAATTTTGCCCAATATCTTCAGGACAAAAGGTATTGGCCAAACGTTGTAACATCCCATGCAGATTGAATCAAGTATCCTCTGGTAGTGGAGCTAATCAGTTGGAGTTTGCCCCATAGCTTGGGTTGATAATAATTTCGGCAGCCTTAGGTCACATTCAGCGGTGCTTGCATATATTAAGCAGGGAATATTTCGTAATGCTGACCCAGACATACAAAGCAAAAAACACTTCGTGACTACACGATTTCACAATTGTGAGGTTCGTGCCGAGAGTTTCGCAATTGTGAAAATAAAACATAACAAGCATTAGAAAATCCAATTTCCACACGTCTTTTATTTATTATTTGCTTTGAAAATATATTTAAAAAAGAATTTTTGTCCTATGGAAGGAAAGATTGAATGGTTTTGAGAAATTGCGCTCCAAAAAGGTGAAAATTGAAGGCGTATCCAGGTGTCCATATACGATCAACGTAAAATACAAACATCGTAATCGTCATTAGAGAGACAAAATAGAATCAGAGCAGGGGAAGAATATCTGCGGAGGAGCGGCAGGCGGTGAACTGTTAAGACAGAACTCGGATATAAGGGATCAAGTTTCCTTATATAATCTTCAGTTCTTTTTTCTTTTCTTTCTTTGCATGTTTTTCAATACAATTTCTATTCAAAACAAATAAGAAAATTGTAGTCAGGCAAAGCTGTCATTAAATATCCTACACCGCGCTGCCTAACACAATTCTTATTTTCGTATGAAATTATTATTAAAGGTCAATTTTCATCATCACGTATTAAACTTCCGACTTTTCCGCTCTACAATTTTCGTAAAAATCCTTATTACGGTGGGAATAAGAAAATAGATAGAAATGGTCCATATTTCTTATGTTATGTTATTATGATATAATTTTCATCGTGAAGGATTGGAAATTGCACTTTTTTGGCGTATGTACTGCAGTTTTCGTTATATGAGAGGATTTTTAAGAATTGCCCCAGTTGGTCCAAAGTTTGCTTATCAATTTAGGAAAATTTTTAAAAATTACAATTTTTTTCTGTGTAACAACTTTTCAGAATAGGGCTTTCTCTGGGGAATGGGGAAGAAGTGGACCGACTCGAACCATATTCAATAGCGTCAAACATCGGACGGACAGACAGGCTTAGATCAATTTAGATTAGGATTCTGAAACTATGATGGGTATAATAAAACGTAGGTCCATCTTAAGCCCTTCTGCGTGTTACATACGACCGCACTAATTTAACATACTTTGTACCACAAGTGGTGTAGGTTATAAAAAAACAATTTCTATATTCTGTTATATTGGGTGTGTGCGGATTTTTATTTTTATAGAATAAAGGCGAAAATTGTGTCTATGCTGCTGTGTATGGGTTGTAAGCAAAGAATCCGGAAAGCATATATGTTCTCAGTTTTTGCTGTATTGTAGGCGTGTCGTTTGAAAGGTTTGGAACATTTTGAAATTCTTTTGCAAATTTGTGGTCGATATCTTCACGCGACGAGAAGAATGTATACAAAAGATATTACACAAATGTACGGACGGACATGTTTAAATCGTTTCAGAGTTTGGTGCTGATCATGAATTATATACTCTGTGTACTCTTTCAAGCTTCCTTCTGGTTGTGAAAAAAGTTTCATAAAATGAATATATATTTTATCCTTCGGCGATAGGTATAAAGATGCACTGCACTGCGAAGGATGTGTTCTATCAATTTGGATATCGCTGCAAGCGAAAATAAACGATCGACATTTTTAATTGAAACAGTTACTAGCGACATTAGCCAAAATAAGACTATTCGATTTCGATCGACATTTGGTATCTCTACTATTCCACGCTGAACAAGAATACTCTGTGTACAATATAAGGGCTATAATCTTCTACACTACAATATTATAATAATAAAATAAATTTAATCGATTATTTAAAACTTATCTATGAGCTATGTAATCAGTTATAATAATATAAACAAAGTGTCGTATGACGTAATTTATCTAAGACATAACACTTACGCCATTGTAATATATTCCAAGTGGAAGTAATGCGCGCGCACCACAAAGGCCATTGTATTCATAATTCATATTTATATTTGCAAGCTTTTGCCAAAATGTAGAAGAGCAAAGAACTTTTTAGAGAAAAAAATAATCCCACATAACGCCTTGAAGCTATTATCGTGATGATGACGAGCAGTAGACACTGTTAAATCATTTCTGTTGTTTACGCTAATTAAAGCAATAAATATGCATTTGTTGAGGTCTTGTTATATTCTGGCGTCGTGATCGATGATAAAAGAAAACATTGTGTACTTCGGGATACAGTTCGTCCATATTCCAAGTGGTAGTCTATGCAATCGCTGGAAATGCATTTAATCCGACAGCCAAGCCGCCTTAAAGTCCGTAAAAGAGCGATTGATAATATCTAGGCTTGTGTTGGAGTCCCTTCGAAACATTGAAGGAATTAGGCAGGCATAATGACGTACGTTTAAGGTGGGTGTATGACAGGTTCTGCGACATATCAAGAAGATATATTAATAGACTGGTGTTGGAATGGGCAAAGGAAAAATCGGTTTGATGGAAATGGACGGGAACTAAGAAAAAGCTACGTACGTTTGGTTACAGGCTTGTACAAGGGTCATAATTCGCGCAGGTATCATCTGAAAGCCATGCGCATGTCTGACACCGATTAATGCAAATTCTGTCAACAGACGAATGAAACGTCCTAGGGCCACCATTCTATGCGAATGTTAGGCCATTTGCCGAAGAATAGGCGGCATTCATGAGAATCCTAAAATTGGAGGCCTAGGGGCACGCGCGAGTACAATACACCTTCTAGGTCGCGGTAAGGTTCGCCTACACAATACAATTAATAATAATGATAGGCTTACTTCGATTTTTTATCAGTTATGATATTGCCAAGGTATAATCATAAGTTTACCGCATAGTGCAGTACATGGACTCGCGACTGCCAGGCCGGTAATCGCGGGTTCAAATATCAGTGCGTTAGACCATACATCCTAAACAACTATATAACATAGTTACATAGACTTGTGTTCGCCTTTAATACTTTAATGCCAATAATATTGTACACTGTTTACTTGCTCTTCTGACTGATTGATATTCATTAATATATAAGTTCATAGTTTAATCACTTAAACTGAAGTTTACTTTGCTAACACTTTGATATTAAAAATATTCTCAGCAAAAATTTGGTTTATTTTGGAAGTGAAAACTATTAGCTTTTCTGCGCTTTAATGATCTTCTCTATAATAGTATAATTTAAACCCTTTAGCCTTAAGAGTGTTGCTTAATAGGGATGAATGTGTATGCGTAGAAGCGCGTCAATTATTATAAAGAAGAATTATTATGTTCTGAAAATCACACACGAAATAATGTCTTATGATTTTTGAGATGTCTCTGTGATGTTGCTCAGTGTATGATCCTTAGTCTGTGTTCTGTGGAATATAACAAGGTGCAGTAGGAATTGTAGAAAAATGGCGCCGCTTTCATAAGTTAAGTCCGTTCGCGATATACGCATTTCTTTTGATAGGATTCACCCCAGCTTAGGATGCTGTCAATCTCGATTACCGCCGAATGTTCTTTAAACCATCCCAGAATCCTTCTTAAGCATTTTTATGGCCATCTTTATAAGAGATGTTCTTTGCGAAAGAAAGTGATGCTAAAGCTTTCATAGCATGTTACACTTGCTGCGTTGTATTTCTTAAGAATGAGAAAAGCAAATAAGTGGTGAGTGAGCATCAGAAGATTCACGCCCGAAGGTAAGTAAAAATTTTTGAAACATAAAATCCACTAACACAATTACAAAAAGCACTAACCCTTTTGTAAATGGTTGCGAAGACAAGAAAGAAGTACATTTTCCTCGATATATATGCATCAGATGCGAAATTTAGTTGATATGAATTTTTTTTATGCAATCTAATGATGAAAAATGGGACTGACTACGTTATCGTCTACGTACGTTGCAGATAAAATGTTATCAGCGATCGGGAAATTTGATGCGAAAATTGTATAGAATATTGGATCTAAAATTTGTGCAGCGGCACTCAACCTTGAATCCTATATACATTGGATTTAAAACTTTCAAGTTTAACATAGAAAGTTTGGTTTTGTAAAGAGGTTTGAGTTGGAAGAAATTTTTTAAGTGTGAAAAGTAGACCATCATGCCAGACATTATTGAACGTCTTTTCCACAATTCGGTAATTTTTATTTTCAATGGCTTCTCGAATGGCTTTTACTCAATAGTATCATGTTTACCGCTGAAATACTTTCTATCAGTTTTGGAGTTTCCAGTATAGGATGATGAATACGAGGAGAGGCCTAAACCGATTTTGGTTCCAACACTTAAGGTTCTACAGCGCTCTCCAAACTAAGTCGCTCTCTCGATGCGTAGTGTTGAAACAAGTTTTGAAAATATTTGTTTTCTTTGCTCAAGCTATACACGCATTACTTGTTGCTCCTAAAGTGCTTGCGAAACTTGGTCCTTATAATTTAGCATTTGAAAGAAGATTTTGTCCATGAATATTATTTGCTTTTCTGGTATTTTCGCAGACTCACATTTACGCGCGCTCTTATATTTTTATATATATGTAATATTGTATATTGATAATTCGTTTATATGTCTGCATGCATGCATGCATGCATGTATGTATGCACAGTCAGCTGAAAGGTTGAATTACCCACTAAATTGTACGTCAGCGAGACTAATGCACAATTTAGTAATTGTTGTTGTTTAGCGGATAGGTGGTTATTATTATTATTCTTTTATGTTGATGTGCATGACTCAGTCACCTTAAGAGTCATAATGTGATTTGCGTGTTGTTTGTTACCTTCCTGTATCGGTCGGTATTGCTCTGTAAAGTTTCTTTCAATTCTTCGCTATATTGCTCTGCTTCTGACCGTGACTGCCTATCAAGTGATTTCGCGTAAAGGAAAACGAAAACATTTACAGCTTTATGTATGTGTCTGTGTGTGTGTATTTGATGCTGTTTCATGACCTTCTGTTGCATTTTAATTTCATTTATGCATACCGCATGTTGTTCATAAAAATAACCGAAATGCCCTACGGAATGGTAATGGAAAAGTCGACATCAAATAAACCTTAGCCTCTCGCTACCCGCCGCTAACCGCTCCCCGCCCCCTGCTGATGGCACAATGCATGTATGCACCGTCGCTCGTTATGAATAAATAATATTTTCAATGTAATGCCCCGTTGACGTTGTCATTGGCATACTTCGTTTCTGTCTGCTATTTTGCTTTACCATGCCATGTATACGTTAGGTAAGTCGCACAAATATATATAT